TAAGGAGAGACTGCGTAAACTCAAATGTGAAGCCTACCATGGAAGTAAGCGACTTCCATGCTGTGTGAGCGCCACACCCGCGCCTGTCGTTCACATAAATGAGTCGTACACAGTATTCCCGGAAAATGAATTTAGATCATTAGTGTATAGAAACATTAAAGATAAAAGCATTTGCCGTTGATCAATCCCTTTTTGGGATGCGGCACGCATTCTACTTCCATTTGTACATTCGTAGTGGCGTTTGAATGCGATGTGGCCTATACAATGACTTGCGGGGCCAGCCGATGTACAAGTCAGTGTTTTTATCCTCCCAGACAAGTCTGGTACCAATTAACCGACCCCGGAGGGATGGAAGGCTTGGTTGGCCCGGGCGAGGATGAGGATTAGCTAAGGCCCTACTGAGACGGTCAGAGGTTTGCCCCTTGGCATAGAATTACAATGTTATAATTCGCATTTGCCACTTTCTCATTAAAATTGATGGCGATTGACTATCTGCGTTTCCTATGTCGTTGGAAGGTCTTCAACGTCAACTCCTTGTGTGAATTATAGTCGCAGGCTCCTTAGTGTTTTGTGAACCTGGTAAACTCAGCGCTCTCAACTCCTCTTGATGGCTACAAAAAGGCGTTAGGACCTTAGTAGTCGTTACCCGCAAACAGGTCAGTAAGCTGGCGGAGGAAGCCCCACAAAAGTTCTCTTTGTCGCGACGTTTAACGGCTTCCGCCGATGCGCCTAGTTCGTTGAGCCTGAGAGCGCGCGAAAGGACGAAACAACTATGCGGATGTCTCCAAAACTTACTTGTTCAACTAATCAACGAACGAGAGTCTTCAAGTGAAAAATACTTTGCCATCTTGACGTGCCGACCCGATTATCATCTTTCGAGGTTCGAGGAGTAGGAATGAAGCGGCAGACGCTGATTCGCCATAGGGCGCATTCATAGTCGGTCGTCCGATTGTAAAATCGCAACAATCGCACAGCATTATATACATATCGATCGTCGGACGTGTCCGAAGATCGGACGACCGATACGTGCCCTCTATTTCGGAGGACGAGAGGAGCGTCGAGTGCAGGCCACACACTGCAAGTGACGACGGCCCAGAAAAAACCCACTTTTCTCTATCATATATCTTTTTACGAAGTCGCAGATGAGGGTGCTATCTTACATAGTTGAGGGGGCCACGCGGCGGCGCGGCGCTCTGTTCGTCTGCTCCTCCAAAGGCTTAGTCCCAGGGGCAGTTACTATTTCGCCATCACGTGGCAGTTTCGAAATACGCGCCATCGGGACTAAGCCTTGCAGGAGGAGACGAACAGAGCGCCGCGCCGCCGCGTGCCCCCCCCCTCAACTAAGATAGCACCAAGATGCGTTCAAATGTGCATTTTTCCCAATCACAGCTTACACTGACCACTCGCGAGTACCAAGAGGCTGATTCGATGGCCAAATGTTAGTGGTCTCAGGACATCTGTCAACCGTGAGCCTTGGCGGTTCAGCGTTTTGTAGTGATGTCTGGGAGCTCTCACAAGTGCACACTATCACAGCATCTCCTCTTTCTTTATCTTCTTCAAAAGGCTTAGTCCCAATAAGACACAAAGTGTGTGCTTTTCCAGCTACGCTCTCACCCTTTGGTTGACAGAAGCCTTGTAACCAATGTTAATAGCGGAAATGTGGAGTGAACGCCGTACTGTTCATTGCGTTGGATGTAGGCACACACGACCTTATCAAGTTCACGCTAGTTTCGTTTTACGTTCAAGTTTATGATTAATTCAGCTTATTTTCTCTTTTCTTCGTCATTCATTATTTGCTCTACCCATGGCGTCTTGTTATATCACTAACATAACCACATTCAATTAGCTTGCAGTTTCATTACAGCCGACTACTGGCGGTTTATTGTGTCGCTCGTCTCAGTTTCGTTTCAAATTAAAGGACCACCAAATCATGAATACGTATTTCTGTCCCATAACCGCCTATTTGTTTAGACCTGTATAACCACTTCTTTGTTCTCTCTTTTCGTTTTGTGGCTTTTTTTGCTTGTCCAATTTTCACGGAACTGATTTCCAAATTAATGTTTTCTCTTAAGAATGAACACATTGGCAGACTACGGGGAATGAAAGCGACGAGGAATCCCCGAGGCGACGATCCTTCAATATGGAACGAAGTAAGTGTAGCAAGAATTATGCTTGTGTCTTGATTGTGCTTTCTTTTTGCTCGAGTGGAGTGCTGTATCAGTTATTTCTTGAGGTAATGGCTTAGGTGAAGTGCCTGCCACCACGATTTCACAACCGAACGTTGAAGATTCGCCGAAAGTCCAGAACACAGATTCTGATCATTCTCCTCCCCCAAGAAGAGATTCCGATGCCATGTTCGACGGTCGAGAATTTCCAATTCGATGTCATTTTTTTTCCTGTTTCTGGATGCTGGTTAGTAACAAGCAAAATGGAGTTTTGTAGTAGCGCAACCGTCGTCGTCAAGACGGGTCCCGTACCGACGGGATGGATACTGCGGGGTAGCAGACCGCGGAGCGTTCGCGTAGCGGTCATGCTGACCCCGCCACTCGGGAGGATCCCTCCCCATTCCGGTTTTCGTTTCGTAAGTGACCCCACCCTCCCACCCTGCGGAGATACGAAGGAGAGGTAACCTCTTCACGTCAGCTAGGGCCAGCACGGCTCTATCCTTTGATGGAACAGGTACATCTGTGAGGTAGGGGCTGTATCAAATCCGCCCAATAGAACCCACTAGTTCGGCATTTATTCTGGATTTTGGTTCCCGACCGCTCACAGCGGTTTTCCGGCGCCATGATATTTCGCGAACATTGCGATATCGCGTTCGTGTTTTCATCAGAAGAAGGGATGAGAAATTATGAGGAACGGGATGTATTCATGGCCCTGTGAAACGAGGTGGACAGTTTTTGGAACCTATCCATTCACAAGGAGGATTAAGCGCTCCATTCTCTCCGTTTCTCCATCGAGGATAACTGTTAACCTTTTTCTCCAATATAGCAGATCAATCGTTGTACTAGAACGGCAATTCTTGTACATGGTACGCCCGAGTCAACGATTTCTAAAAGAATATATTGCCAGCGAGTATGGCTATGGGGTTTCTCCGTGCGGATATCAGACTGTGTTGTTCTGTATAGTGGCGATTTGCCCATTGCCCCTCAATTTTACGCGTCAGATCGTTTTCCTACTGTTCCGCAGTCATCAAGAATTTGTTATTCGGTTCGAGTTCATTATTTATGGCTCCACCTTCTCAAGATATAGTATTTCTTGAGCATACATTTCTGGCTACTGCGTTCACCGTTGCTGATTTCATCGATGGATTTCTCCTTGACCTGTTATTTCATGGACAGACATTTTGGACAGTTACGGTCTTAAGACTACTTTGAGTCCTTCCCGGCAAATCTAGTGGAGCGGCGTGCTATCTTTCACGAATTTTCAGCACTCGAATTGACGGCGATGGATCCCAGAAGCACGACCTTCGTCATCCCGAGGATGTCGTCATCGGCCACCAGCCAACGTGCTGACTATCTAGTTTTGATTTCAGATCTAGCTCAGAACTTCATCACTCGGTGGACACACTTAAGTCCAAGGATGGGTCCGCATGGGGACGATGACGCGGTAGTAATCGAAATTGCAGACGTCATAGAGTGGAATTCGACAAGCAAGCAGTTGTTGGATGGCGACCTGTGGCAGCCTCAGATGCGATCTATCATAGTTCAGCTTCGTCTTCAGCAAAAGATTACCCATCCACATTGTGATGAATAGGCATGATTAATGTTCAAGTAGTTGTTGAGACCTCGACCAAATGTTAGCGAGCCTGACACATTCATACTCATAATCGTATGTGAGATAGTTCCCGTTGAAGCGCTATCGTATATTGTAGTTTTGACGTGTAGCCCGATATAGGCCATCTAGGTCACAAGGGTGCTCTGATTATCAAACATACTGAATGTAATTGTTATGGTCAGTTATCGACCGCAGTGCGACACGACAGTAAACGATAAACCTTTACCCTCGATTATTTGGTTGCGGTGAGGTATACAAAACGGAAGTTTCCGTCGTTAGAGAGTATCGGAGGACGGAAATGAGCTTTTATCTCTATGAAAAGCCGTGCCATCAAGGCGGTAAATTGTTAGCTTTAATTACTATCAGTGAGTAACAGCTTACTGCTCCTCAACAGATGTTTTAGTTGCCTTGTGTCTCTTCGTTTCGTCAATTTTTTTAATGTTTTCCACTTCAATGCACTTTCCACCCATTACGCTGTCTTTTTTGACCGTTTTGGCGCATCAACGGTGCGCCACTTTTTTGGCTCTTTGGGTGTATTTTTTTATTTTTTTTGTTTTCTTTTTATTTTTTGTATTCTCTGTCTTCATCTTCCATTTCTTATTTTTAATCAATTCTCTTTTTAATTGCGCTTTCTTCATTTCCTTCTTGTTCAAGGATACCTCAATACCTCCGGTTCAAAATTTTGCTTCTCGATGAATCATGTAAGCCTTATTTACAAAAACACTCCGCTGTGTTTGAGATAAGCTTCGGCAAGCATGCCTTGTACCTAAGTCTTCAGAAGTCGTTAGAGCTCTATCAGTTCGGCTATTGCTCTGGCCGAAGCCAGAGCTACTTTAATTCCTCCGCCGTACATAATCAGTAGAAGCTTTAATCCTACATATATGGCTTCATGAAATCTTTTGAGCGGCGCTTCGTTTTTAAATACTTTACTTTTGCTTACGATTCAGAGGCCTCGAATGAAGACCAGCTTACTGGCGAATTGTACAAGCGTACGAGTGATCTCTCTCTTCAACGGCGTGAGTCTTCCGCCTTGAGCTGTCTTTTATGTTGACTCTTTTGTAGGCTAGAGTACTGCGCTACATAATCTTGTCCCTAAATTTTTTTTCGTCTTGCACTTTTCCTGAGTTTTATTCGCCGGTTTGATTGAAAATTGACAAAAAGAATTGATAACTATTTTTGAATCAGTTTCTAGAAACATGTTCTATAGTTTCATTTCAGACGACATGATGTTTGATGATGAAACGTCACGTCGATACGCTTCATTCAGCGACACTAGTGATCGTAGCGAAAGTACAGAATTTCGAGAGCCGCCACCCCCCAAACGGAAAGAGTATCACTCACCGTCCCCTTCCTTACCTACGCCTTCTTCAAAAATGCATCAAGTATGTTGCGTTTTTCCTCTTGTTTCTTCGCCAGAATTTCTACACGTAACGCCTAGTTGTCATATCTGCAAATGTTTAAAAGTTTCGCTATGGTTCTGAACTACTTTTATTCGTGGGTTTAATGAATACTTTCATTTTTATCTCTTGATAGGGTCTTAGTATGTTTTTGGGGCTGCAGAGAAAGCACTTAGTTTTGAGAACCACGTTCGTTTACGAGAACATACATTCCTCTGGAACGACGAGAGAATTGGAATTCTCTATAAGGCTGGATTTGGCACACAAAAACATTGGAGGGCCCTCATCCAATAGAACGATTTTTTCTACAACTCACTTGTCAGAATGGTCTATCTTTGAAGTAGATGTTTTAACTTACTAGGAACTTACCAGGAAAGGCATTCAACTTCCCATGGAACTTTGAGATTGAGACCCAGATATATCGACAGAGCTTCAAACGCTGATTACAAATATGGAAGCTAAAACTGCAAAATGAACCTGCCAAGGAAGTTGTGAGCAGTCAAAGTTGCTGAAGTAAAGCATTACGTATGAACCGTGCTATGGCCGATAGTGACCCTGCTCTCCACCCGGGAGCCGTCATAAGTTGCTCTGACGTTGCAATCTGCAAAATTTCGAGAGAGCACTTCACTTACTACACCAGGCGACTTCTGGAAAGCTCGGGGTCTAGCACGGGTTAGTAACGTAGCGCACGTAACTCGGAGCCAAGCGACTGCTCACAACTTCTCGCGAGTCCATTTGAGTTTAGCTCAGGTGTGTCATTCAACGTTTAAAGCTCAATCATTCAGTGGGTTTCAATTTCGCAAAGTTCCATGGAGAGTTTAAGGCCTTCCTGGTTAGTAACTTAGTCGTACTTACTTACTATTAGTGGCTGGGAAAGTGAATAAAGACGACACGACCATTCTATTTTATTTTATTTATTTATTTTCATTATTGGCCAACAATTGAAGCTTCCTCTTGCACGTAGCTTATTGAAAATTGTACGAGCTATGCTTATTCACGTAGGGTGTTAAGGTCTCCTCCGCTGTATCGCTAGTTTCATACGCAGGTGGAGAAGAAGAAAGAGAAGATGCTTTTGAACGAGGTAATGTTATTATGGTACTGAGTTTTCAAACGTTATTCTTCATTCATTCCAGCTGACCGCGATGCGGAAGTTGCTCAGAGCCCTTCCTCACCCCCTTCAGGAATGGTTGAACCCCGCCCCCCGGAACGAGTTAGTCAGGTAGTATCTATATCTCGCTCGTAGTTTTCTCAAACCGCTAACTGAGAGTCCTCTCCGAATTAGTATATTGCACTGCCTCTTTTCGATCGAACTTGCCCTCCTTGTTGACGAGTTTTTGCAATTGCCTTCGGCTTTTTCTGCTTTGTCCATTGCATTATTTGTTGTCTAGTTTGCCTATTCTATGAACAATAATTCCACAAAACATTTTCAGAAAAGTGATACCGACGATGAAAATGAACGTCTTATTGATATGGCTCTTGAAGAGGGGCGAAATGCTCTGAAACAAGTAATTGCGGTATATTTAGTAGACATGGCGGTGTTCTCATCATAGAATGTATTTGAGAACAGTTCCACCACCTTATCCAGCGGTTATTATTAATCGATAAGGCATGTTTTTGAGCGAGAGGGGAGGATCAACGGGATCTGGTGGATGGACACCAGCCTTATGCATAGTCGTTACATGGTATTTATCTCGACTGTGATGCCAAGGTAAAAATTCTATTTTGTGTAATTTTGACTACTTGAAAGCTCAGTGTTTAGCCGATGGATACGCCCCCTCACCAAGACGTTGCTATACCTCCAGCACCGACAGCGGAGTGTGATCCTGAATTAGTGGTAGGTTGAAAGACATCTTCGTCTTTTCTTCCTTGCTTACTTTGTTCTCACTTGTTCATAATATTGCATTACCTTCAGCAAATCTTCTATAAACACTTTGAACGGAAAGCAGCTGGCATAGATGTGAATATTTCGGTGCAAGAACGAAAGGATTTCCAAAATCCATCTAGCTATGAACAATTGATTCTTAATTTCGGAATCAATGAAGTCGGTTAGTTCCTGCGCCAATGTGAGTTGGTCTGATATTATTTCAAACTGGGTTATGCTTGTGTTGGTTAGACCGACGCTACGTTCATCTCGATTCTTAACGAGTGGCATTTACCCCCGGTGTTGTCGTGGAATGAAAAAAATTGGTGAGCTTTTAAAACCTTCACGTTCTTTGATTCGGCACTGTTTTAGTAGGGTGTCTAAGAAGACTATTCCGTTTTCGTGTTCAATCCATTCAACTTGGACAAATAATAACCTCAACTAGTAATGTTGTACGCTTAAAAGACTCAAAACTTCTTGGACATCTCATTAGAAGTTGAAAATCATCCGTTACTTATGACGCAAGATGTATTGTTCCTTTGAGCATTACTTTATTTGAAGCCGAGGATCAACGAAAATATATGGATAGCTTGAATGCGGCCAAGCACTCGTCAAAGCATGCATCAGGAGCAGCGAAACATGCACCGGGAGCTACGAAAACCGCTCCGGGAGCAGCGAAATCTTCTGCAGGAGCAAGTCATTCGTCCGCGGCAATTGCGAAGAAAAAACCATGAACGTGTTCAATACAGTACAAAAGTCATTTCTCTTGAAGTAATAGATTTATTTGTTATGTGTTGTTGAAGCGAACTTTGTTCACATTTATCTGTACAAAACGTCAATGAATATAAATATCAAAACAATTGTTTGATTTTAAAAGTTGTTTGTCCATTCGCTATTTAAAACATTTCGCATCTTCCGAAATTCAATATGTTCGCAAACGCAAAGGTTGCAGGGGTGATATGAGAGCAAGTCTAGCAATTCAATTGTCACGTCGATGTCACATTGGAAAGGAGTAAGCACTTTTGAATAGGTATCTCTTGCCTTTAGGTAGCAGCTCCCTTGCTTAACCGAGCATCTGTGCTTTCCTTTGCCCATATGTACATAATAACTATATTGCTCGGACGAGGGTGAAGCAGTTCTGTCGCCAAGTGTTTTCCATTAGGCCGATGTCAGAGTTTGCGAATCCAGCGAATCGAGCTGTGTACCAGCGGATCGAACGATGTACCAGCGACTCAACACTGTTTGAAAGTGGTGGGACCCAACGTTTAAAGGAAGCCCCGCACATTTAAGCAGTGTGTTCCTTTAAAGTGGACTTCCTTCAAACGTTGGGTCCGCCACATTCAAACAGTGTCGAGTCGCTGGTACATCCGTTGGCACATAGTTTGATCTGCTGTTACACAGTTCGATTCGCTGATACAGCTCTTTCCTTGTCTCGATTTCCGCCTAGCGAAGTTACGGCAAAGTCTGAACATTCGCGGCCTTAATGCGTTGCAAAATGCGAATAAGACGAACATATATTTTTTTTGAGCGGCTTGCCACCAATCTCCTTGGGCCCTTATGGACCGGTATACAAGAAACTCATCTATCATTCAAATTCAGTGAAGAGCTTATAGCAAAAACTTCATTCCTGGCCTTAATGTGCCACACTGCAGACCTTTACTGGTGCGCTTTTGAGCGTTTATAATTCGCCCAATGCTTTCAGAACTAATATCGAATCTGGACGTGGCTACACCAGGCGCATCTCGCAATCTGTTGCCGTTCCGCCCCTCACACCGAAAAAATTTCGTACATGCGACGGCAGGAACTCACAAAAATTATTTTGAGATAACAACCTTTCCATCTCTGCCATGGCCCGTGAGGGTTTCCATAATCTTACTTCGAGCAACGAATGTAATAGCCCTATGTCCCTTGCTTCATCTGAAGCGTGGTCTGTCTGCAATTCGAAGTGCGCGCGCTATTTTAATAATGTATGGTGTTGGACGGGACGTGCAACGTCTCCACCTAAATGGCCAGCGAAAACAGAGGCAGTGTTCAACAGCAAAGATTTGTCGAGGGCTTTGAGGCAAAACATTAAAAAGATAAGGCTCGAAGTCGAGAATTGCAATGCATTCTGATAAAAGCAACGTACTGTGCTCGGGTCAGTTGTATTAGTTAGCTAGAGTTCGTTCTGAGTGTTTGTCAGTTTTTCACGTGAGCTCTTTAACTTATTTCATATTACCGAAGAAAGGTAGATTTTGTACCTTTAATTATCTCAATTCTTCCTTTAGGGAGATTTCTTATCATACCGAAGCCATATGGAGTGTCTTGTGTTGGAGAACCTCAAAAAGATGGAGGAGTGTTTGAAAGTAGTGTCCACAATAAGAAAGACTCTTTCGAGGTTCCCGTGGTAGGTTCTCAATATTTTGTTCTTGAGGAATGAAATTTCGATAGAAGTTTCCTCTCTTATTTGATGATTTCTTGATTTTGTCATCAGTATGTTGTTTTAGAAGAGATTAGTCGAGCAAGGCGTTACTATTTCGGAATGTATACCAGGATTGTCTCGGATGTTCAATGAACCTAAGCTTATGTTCTGCACTGGACTTAAAAGGTACTTTTCTCCAGTATTCATTTAAATGGTAGTCCATCTGCATTCATCTACTTGCACCACTTAGAACACGTCCTCCCAAAAAATGAGTTTTCCTTAGTGCTCCCGTTTTGTGCGCTTTCTGCTCCAACTCTGTTTCCACGTACAATATGCAGTTTGCCTTGTACTGAAGAATCCTTCAGTTGCTGCTTGTCCCTTGACACATTGTTTTTTTTTCTCTGACACTATCCAAATATTTTATCATTTTTTGTGCTTTTCGTGATTTACCTGCCACTTTTTCACACTTTCGAGTATTCTCGCATTCTATTCCCACTGAATGCTGGCAAGAGCTGTGAAATTCTTGGTACTGTTTTGGGCGATTTTCCTGCCTATATGTCTCGATCAGGAGCGTAGATGCTATCCAATAAATCTCAACTACATATGTATGCGATGGCGCCAACATAGCTTAAATCCCTTGATGGTAACTGGCGAAAGATAGGCGTCATTTCCTGCAGTGGAGGCGTGAGTACCGCTTGCGCAACTTGAGCACTTTGTCGCGTAGCGGCTACTTTCTCATCTGAGAGATCATCCATCGAAATTGGATTCTCCGTACTAGTGACGCATTCGTGCGACCAAGCTTCTGTTAAAGGTAACAAACTCTATGCATACCAAATGTTCATATCCCTGTTCCTGATTAGGGACGCGATGCGAAACATTCAACCTACTCGCGTTTTCGGAAAGGCCACCAGATCAGTCCGGCCAGGTGAAATGAGATGTGCACGTTGTGTTCACCTTGAGCCGGTGAACTCTAACTGTTTGCAGTGTTTTCTCAACAATACTCTAAACGGAGTCATAAAAAGGAAGTCTGCTGTGGTAGTGATTCCAGCTCATGGGAAGGAGGTCGCTGGATCGCCTCTTTCTGAGTTCGATCTCTTTACCCTGATTGACAACATAGCTAGGAAAGAGTACATCATCACATTATCAATGCTTGCCTACAAATTGCTGTAAGAGGAGTGTTTCGCAATTGAAAGCCCTTTCCATAAGGATAACAAGCAAAGCAAAGCGCGCAAAAAACCTCCATATTCAGTTCCAAAAAACCTCTAGCAGGTTTGCAAAGCAGTTCTGACAATGAGCTCGTCTCAATGAAGTGACTTATTACCAATGCGCGGACCGACCTTGATTTCCTGAAAGTTTATGATCCACAAATCTTATTTCACTTTGCAATAGAAGACGCGTTTTATTCAAAGTTCGAGCTTATCATTGCTAATTTTTCTTGAGTATGAGTGTGTCGATCATTCTCTGCAGCCGACGCATCTGCAGAACCAGTTCTTGCAGTCGCTCCATGGTCCACATTTCTGAATTCAAGAGAACTGTATTTCTCTCCAGATTCAGACACTGTATATGTACAGTGATATCAGAATAACGCGCACTCTACAGATTCACCAACGACTTTGTCCGCCACCTAGATCTGCGCCTTATTTCTTCGGAACATTAAGCCGATGAATGACCAAAAAAAGCTCCAGCTTACACTGAGGAACTAGTTCTTTAAGTCTTTCCTGATCACATATTTCGGTTCAAGTGAAAGGGTCGTGAGCGCTGGCTGTGTTTGAGCTCGATCGTAACACGGCAAGAGATTTTTTGCCACAGAGTGGGTGATATAGAGTCTGTAAGTGTTACACGGTTGCAGAGCGACGATGTCCATGATGTCGAGCGACAACTTACACGAACCTTTGCCGCGGTAGAATCACAAATTTTCTCGCACGGATGCGTGTTGAGAATGTTTTGTACGGCCGTAACATTTTAGGTGTTGCACCCAATAGCAGGAGGAGGCCCCTCATTGGCCTGCCTCACATATCGAGTATGAGTTATCTGCCACGTCGAGTCCTCAACGGGCTTACGCAATCGCTCGGCCGAAGACTGCTATATAATTCTTCAAACCCGATTAACTTGGTGACGATTATAGAGGACTAGCTGTGACTTGGAAGACGTTTTCACCGCGTACGTTGAGGAATGTCGTAATGGTCTATGTACCCGACGGACCATCGTTGAGCTTGTACGTGACATGTTTCTATGGAATCTTCTGATGTCTCGTTAGATAGGTTTATTTAATTTTCAATAGATTAGACTGTGCTCTTCAATATACAGCTCTCAGGCTTGGTTTTGCAACGTGTTTAAACGTTGCAACGTATTTAAATCCATTTTGAATTTGGAGGGAAGTGACTCTTATTTTGCCCAGCCCTTGTAGAATGAGCCGTCAATGCGTTGTCGAACATGTCAACATGCAGAAGTATTTTTTGCGTGACATCACCGCGTTGACATGCAAATCGACCGTCTTAATTCTTTCCGGAGAGGGGAGGGGACAATCTCAAAAGGACGAGAGGTATTCGGCTAGTTAGCTCGTTGACTTTAAGAGTCAATATTATTTTGATGTGAAGGAGTCCGAGCCTTCATTTAATACGCGCTGGTTTGGTGTTAGGACTTTTCATGACATTCTTTGTAAATTGTCAAATGGTTCGCGGGCTGTGAAAGAAAATGTAGCTGGGAATGACGTTACTGTATTGCTGATTATACCCTCTAGAAAGTGAAAGGTCGCTCAAGCATTTTGGTATATTTCAGTTTTGCTATCATATTTATGTACCAGATTAGTCCCCCGTCAACCGCCGGGACCTTCCTTTCCTGCGCAAGCTTTCTATCCTCCGCTATGGTCCCTTCCTCCTGTGACACCAACACCTCGTGGAAGTGACGCGTATGCAACACAATGGTGTTTCAAACAGTAGAAGGGACACAATCATGATATGACGGTAGATTTTTCGCTTCCCTTCCTCATCCTCCCTTCCTCTCTCCACTGCCCTCCAGCTGCCACTGCAGCACCATGTGGAATGAACGGAAGTTCCAATAACGGAAGTGTGCTAAGCAGGTGTTTATATAGCCCTGAGAGTGTTATCACAACTATCCTGCTACAAAACATTGATATCTCAATCCTGTAAGCTACCCGATTTGTTAGCGGTTTGTTTATCCCATGAGCTTCCTTCTCACTCACTTCATTTTTTCGTGATGGCATCACATATACCCAACATACGATACACAACACCGATACAAAAGTTAGAGCTTTTTTTATAACAATGAAGATTCTTCCAAGGAAGACGCCTTAATGTGAATATCAATGTGGCTGCACGCGTAAAATCAATGCCCATTTCAGAGTATGCGTATTAATTGTACGAGCTGAGGTTCGATCAGCTTTACTGGGAAACGTTTGGCATATAATCCGAGAATGATACCTCTCTAGAAAACAAATTGGCACTCAGCCGTTGGGGGATGGAGGGGGAGGTACACTCGATACGAGGCATTCGAAAACCGCTTATTGGTGACGCTAGGACTTGGAGCAGGGGAGGGGGTAAACGCCAGGGGAAACAAAGGTTTTCCATCCACCACAAGAATCCTTTCCTCCCCCTAATGGAGCGTTCATGGTTGGCAATCGTGCGTGCGATTAGGTGATTAGGCGATATGTCTAATGGAAAATATACGTATAGATTAGGCGATTAGGCGGTGAAGACTACATACGTATTGATTGATTTGCTCCGCCCTTAGAGCGTTGTAGGCGAGTAGGCGATTAGGCGATTAGGCGATCGCTCAATGGGCGGAGCAACAAATCAATACGTATCCTTCTCTTATCGCCTACTCGATACGTATCCTCGCTATCGCCTACTCGCCTACTCGCCTACTCGCCTACTCGCCTACTCGCCTACTCGCCTAATCGCCTAATCGATCGTATACTTTTCATTTGAATCATCGCCTAATCGCGCCGTACGATCGCCAACTATGAACGCTTCACAAGGCTTAGTCCCAAGCTCTATAAGTATATGGCTCACTATATGGCTCACTTACTTCAGTGTCTCCCCTAGCGACATGAGCGCCAACATTTTCATAAAATTGATTGAAAATCACTTACACTACAAACATATTTTCTGCAAAGGCTTGGTATCCACACACATGACCAATCACCCCAATTCGATGATCCGGTACAAGTAATTAAGGCAGTTATAATGGCAAATATTAAAATCTTTTGCATTCCTGAAAGTCTATCGATTTAGCTGGGTAATAAGAACGAGAACGCTCATAGATGAGGGTGGGACCTAATTGAGGTGATGGATAGAGATTATCCAAAAGAAGCTGCCAGCAGTTGAACGTAATTCAAGGGTAGATGTTTCCCTAACCACAGAAGGAGTGCAATTTTTGCTGGCTCTCGACGGTTTCTTTTTTCTTCTTCTCTTTACTCCTGCCCGACTTTGCAACCCAATCTTGAAACTGTTTGGGAAATGCCCATCCAAACATTTAAAGTACCACATGGTGGGGTGAACCTACCTTCTGTAAGAGAAGAAACGAAAAGACTGTTCTTCACAAGGTAGTGGTTCTTTTGATAGAAACTGATACGCACATTTTTTTCTGATAGCTTAGTCCAAAGGGGTGACCATTCATTGTGAAGCGGTCGTGTCCTTGAGTACACTTGTGGTATCGAATTCATCTCGATGCCGGCAAAAGACCGCGTTCACAGTTCGCGACCAAGGAGATTAGGATAGTACGACAATGAAAGAGATATGTATTGACGGCAGATTGGGATAGTAGTAGATGATCAATCTTGGACGCCTAATCTACTACTCCCCAGAGATTTCAACCGATAGGCAGGCCTTAGCCACCAATGACGTGGAAGGTCGATCGGAAACCTCTAAAAGAGGTGATTACGAGCGGCAAAGGGGCAAAGGCACAGTTCATGATCGTACAAAGTGGGTAAAAAGAATGAATAACATTGGTTCAAAAATGACCTGTTGATGCTGTTTTGTCCGCCACTGGGCATAAAAGCAAAAGAAATCGGTTACGAAATACTGAATAACTCCTTTTTCTGTAGATCTCTATGAACATTGTACAAGGTTATTCCGAGGAAAAAGTAGGTACTGGGAAGAGATGCCAGGCGATGAGTGCGCGAGAGAGCATCAAGACGAGCAAAATGTGGAAACCACTTGCTCGACCAACGATGCAAAGCTGAATTGTTTGAAAAGGGCGGGGTTTTATAGCTATTAAGCTCAGATGAAGCTGCCATGGAGGGGAGCACGCCTCCCTCTTGGAATATTTGCTGCAGGGTGGTGAGAAGTGCCAGCTTGGGGCAGCCAAGCAGGTCGAAATGTTTGTGTCATGCAAAAAGAAATACTTTCTAGTACAATATCGTGAAGGTTTTTTTTGTAAAACCACTCTAAATTTTCAGGTATTTGTCCGGTGCGATTGTGCTGCCAGCAAGTGATGCAGATTTCGGTAACATCAAAAAGAGCATTATGTATGCTGCAGGGAAACCGGCTGACTGTTCTCATCATTACAGAGCATTGTAGGTGATTTCTAGTTGTTACTCAAGCAAGTCCTTTAGTCATTCTAAATTACATGTATGAATTCAGAGCGATCCTCGTGTCTTCCCCGCCGAGTCCCACAGGTTCATTGAGCGGCTATGCAACTTTTCAGGCCAATGGCAACGTGTCTGAGGTAGAAGTTGTGACGATTTTATTGAGAACATATTGTGAGTAAACCGTTTCAGTATATCTTCGTGGAGAAACATGCTAAAAGGCGAGCACGCACTGGAAAGTATGCCGTAGCTGGTTCTATGGAATGGCGAGTATTGGCTGAGCGCTATGGTTGCTCATTGGTGGAATTCACTGTGGATAAGTGTAAGTGATATCTGTGATCTGTCTGTAGGCAGCTCAGCATCGTAGCTGGCGGAACTGCTTTGCTATTGCACCAACGCTTAATGGACCTAAAGGCGGTGTTTGCGGTGCCTGAGAGCCGGAGACGAGTTAGCACGTCAATGAGTCGAGAGCACCGTCGTCTGTGGGAAAGCGTCGAAAGGCAATTTAGCCAGCGCCTTTCCCCATCTTCTCATCTTCGCCTCTCATCGCAACCGCTGCCTATAATTACTCTCACACAGGGCACCGCCGTTGTAGAAGCATGTTGAATGAAGTGTGTGCAGAATTTGCGCCCTGCCATCCGACTCTCCTTTTAGTTCCTAGGTAAGTTTTAAGTAGCATATCACGGCAAATCAAATGCGTCCAGTGGGAATGAAATGCGCCATGTGCATGCTCAAAGGCAAAAGTCGGGCACGATTTAGGGAATTTTGACGCTCCAAACGAGTGTAGAGATGCGAAGTGGAGCGACAGTGAAGAAAAACGAAAAGAGGTTGCGACAAGTCCAAAAATGGAAACCCCTTCTCCAACAGCAGCGAAGAGGGTGGGCATAGCAGGAAGCTTGTCCGAACGAGTTTTCGGAATTGCCAGCCATTGCTGGCTCCGTGCCAGCAGTTGATACGGCAATCAACCCAGCTGATTTCACGCCCTATGCCAGCCACGCACCACCTCCCGCGGTGGGCGGTCATAGCTAACGCCAGGCGGCGATAGCTAACATATTTCCTCGGGGGATCTTTGTGGGTGCGTAGTCAAGCATAGAAGTGGTAGAAGGGATTGATCTAATTGCTGAGCGCTGTGGAAACTGTGCACTGCGATGCATAGCTTATGTAACTGGGTAGTTTTAAGCCAAAGCGGGTCGTTGCAGTCAGGTGTGATCACCAACATTTATTCACGTTGCAGTTTTATTCATCGTTTATTCATCAAAGCTCTTTATTCCACAGAAGCCAATTAATGTTCACCTGGCCGAATACATTATACAGGATCGATGTATTTGCACTGATCACATGTTTTACGGGATACTGAGTTGGGACCGTTGTTTTTTCGACACAAATTTCCGTGCATCTAATGAATCTCTGCTCTCTTTCGCGTTGAACACCTAAATTTTTCGCTCATTCAATTCAACTCATCCTTAATGATGAAGTTATAGATCTTTATTTCCCATTTCATTTTTCTTCTCTCTGACGACAACATGTAGGAAATTGATAATGCGTTTTCTCTATTTTTGGCAAATTCTCGCGTCTTCTCAACTCAGTGCTATACTAACTCCTCATATCTATTATTTTGGCCCGCTCATCGTCCTTGGAGGAGGGCAGGGAACATTCAAAACAGGCCTTGAAAAACCGCGAAGAGTTGACCTGGATATCCCAGAAAGGGGGCGGAACGCCAGGAGAACAAAAATTGCTTTACCATACTCTCTTAGAGGGCAACATTCCCTCCGAGAGAGCCTAGTACTTTCACGCTGTCTCACTCACTTGAATGTCTCCCTAACTGCATGACGCCCATCTTTTGGAACTGGAATTTTATCTGTCAAAAGTTTCTTTTCAAGTGTCACCATCAATCATTCTTTCAGGTACAAGTTGGGGGGGGGGGCATGAAAAGTATTTTAAACTATTTCGTGTCTCCCGACAGGACCCCCCATAGAAGACGTGTTTTTAATGTTTTAAAAATGTTTTTTGAAGGCAGGGGAACCAATTGCCTAATGAAATGAAATTGAAGGCGCTATCCCATTTTTGACGTATTGTGATAAAAAACATCCTTCGCTATCAACATTTTTGTAACACACTCCTCCCCTCCAAACGGTTACAAGGCTTCTGTCAACCAAAGGGTGAGAGCGTAGCTGGAAAAGCACACACTTTGTGTCTTATTGGGACTAAGCCTTTTGAAGAAGATAAAGAAAGAGGAGATGCTGTGATAGTGTGCACTTGTGAGAGCTCCCAGACATCACTACAAAACGCTGAACCCAAGCAAGCTCACGGTTGACAGATGTCCTGAGACCCAATCTCACGAACTGCCCATCTAGAACAGTTAACGAGAGCTGCGGAACAGGCATGAACCCATTTGACAAAGGAGGTTCTGATGGGCGGTCGCCAGAGTACAAAACTGGTTACTAAAAGATAGGTTTGTCCGCGGTATCGAATGCGTTACCGCCGCAATAACTTCATGTCTTGTAATAATGCTCAATGAAGGCTTTACTGGCACCCACTAGGAGTTTGGGGGAGGGGGGATGCTGTCACAAGATTTGGGAATTTAGTATTGTAGTACCCCTTAAAAACCACGTAAAATATTTCCTTTTTTATTAAAAATGGGACTAAGCCTGAGGCGGGGTAAGAGAGATTGCAGGGTCCGTGAGCAATTGGACTTGGTTCTGGAGGATGCACCTATTTTGCGATAGCGCCCTTGGGAATTTCTGCATTGAAATGTGGTGAACGTGAAGACAAAACCAAAATTAATAATCACGCAAGCAAACATTCAATTTATTCAAAAGCATACCGATTTCCCGTTGTACGGATCCCAGAAGTAGGCGTTGACAATAGTTATAAAGAGCACGAAGAACAGTATCGAACGCATTCCGCGTCGGAGTTAGCTGAAATGAAGTGCAAGGCTGATAGGGGAGACTTCATATCAACGACCTTATGTACACTTTGATATTGCATGTTATTTTCACGGAATAGGTGCATCTCTTGAAATTGTGGTCTGAAATCCATTCAAAATAGGCTGAGGAAATCGAATCGCGTGCTGTCGTCGTGGGGAATGGGATTTCAAGGAAATAGAGATTGTGGTTACAGTAATCATTTTGAAAGTGATGAAAGTAGCCAATGAATGCTCAACTGTGGTCTCACCTGCGGAAAAAAGCATTAAATAGGCCACAGTTCTGTGTGGACGTGGCTAACACAGAAAAAAGTTTTTTCATTCCTGGGGTTATTCAGAGTCTGTGACTCATCCGCACAACACAGTGATGAACAAGTATGAAAATTTTAATAAAAAACCATTGATTGGAAAATACTGCCGGGTGCCTTGCGCTAAGGAAATGGTTTCAGTCAAAGAAAATCTACACTCAAACGAACAGCTGACGCTGTAGCGCCAAACTTCTTCAGGACAGCGTATCTGAGTCCTTCTAGCTTGCTGACACTAACTGGCTAGAGAACGAATTTCGTTTGCTTTCCAGACAGAAGTAGAAAGCTTCACAACTGCATGCCTATGAACAGCTCCATATTATGGTGGGACGACTTCTCAGAGTTAAATTTTGACCGCCATTTCTACGCTTGTGACGCATTGCCTCATAAGTGAACGGTAGGAATCAACGTTAGAGGTTGTGATCGCTAACCTATTTTATCGTAGTTACTTGAGAAAAGCGTTTATACCTTGTTTGTTTGCTAAACACGGCCACTACTATCCTACTGGAGACGGGGAGTGAGTGTTACGCAGCCCCTAGTACCCCTTCAAATCGATGTGGAGTCACGTGGCGTCAGGGGCCTGATCTTCGGTTCATCTAATAATTGGTCGGTGGTGTCTTTGCTGAGCTCCCGCCTGTTTTTTCTATGAGGATGAACAGGGGCCTTTGTGACGGACGATGACATCTTACGAGGGGGTCTTTTCAGGACATGAAGATGTTCTTTTTTTCAAATGGGGTATGTTGAATGTTTAGAGGCTCATGTGAGTCAACAAAACCAAGCCCATTCTGAAGTCCCAGAATTTCAAAACAGCAAGGAAGAAATGGTCCAAAGTTCGGATACTTCGCGTTGATGAGATTTTTTGAGCAAATTTATGTTGGTGCCTCCCAATTGCCGTGCTGTAAAAACTACGGACATGCATCTATTTCTCGGACGATTGTCGTCCCGCTTTGGCCGACATCTGCGGGCGCTAAACTATATGCCCAAAAATCCGGTCATACACCAGGCAGATCGATACTTCTGGACCATTTCTTGCACCACTCGGGTTGACATCTTGGAGACATTCAGGAAATGGATCTGAGTTCTGCGCTTCCTCGCGTGTGATCTTACGAGCATCAGAGACCAATTGAAAAAACGCTCCACTGTACTGAAGACCTCCACTGATTTAACTTCAAAGGATGTATGCAATGGTTTAAAGCCTCACAGTGAAGCAGAGGCTTGAACTGTAAGGCATTCATTGTACACCCATTTTTTAGCTTAACGCGAACTTTAGGTCGATCGGTCGATGTACGCCGAGTTCGCTCTCACTTTACCAATAGATAAGATTAAAACATTTTATCTAGCGGTCCGCTACGAGACAGCACTGGAGTTAGAATGTTGAATGGTAGTTGCAGTTTAGGTCGAAAAATGTGTGAAGCGTGTGCCTGAATTATGTTGGCAATCTGCAAATCAGAAAAGTCAAATCTTGGCTAGATTTTGAAATCAAATTTGAGATTGTTTTAGTTGCGCGTCATCTTCCACGTTTGATGTTTTCCCACTTGCTGTGTCCTATACTTGGAGACGAGCTGTATGGAAATCGTCTTATTGAAATTGATGGCAGACCGGCAACGGTTCAACCGAAAGATTTACGACGTGTCAGGAATCGACGGGTAGGAGACTTTGCAGAAATATTTTTTCTCATTGCTCAAAGTTTTAATGCATAGTTCTTAGTGTAGTTTCCTTCCCTTCAACTATGTATAGTGATCGCCGCACAGCAACCGCACGCGTCTCAGCTAGTCATATGAGGCCGCATGCAGTTATTGCGAGGCGATTGATGCGGCCATTGAATAGGTATTGCCTGTGGTAAATAAAGCAGTAAATAGATATGTGTTACAGTATTTCCCTGAAGCCCTCACAGAACGTTTTGGTGTGTCTGCAATGGAGTTACAAAAAACGATGCCACTATATTGTCATGTGCATTCCACGGTGGGTATACCATTTGAAATTTGAAATATTTGCCGCTGACGAATTTGAAATGTTTCAGTTTTTTCCGCGATACGGTTGGGTGCTTGGTCGACCGCGGAGTGAACAGGAAGTCGCTGATCTTTATGCCAATACTCCACCTCCACGTAAATATTTTACTTCAACAAATATTCAAATGAATTTGTTTCGAG